GAGGAGGAGGAGGAGAAATGTTAACGGACATTATGCGAATCGATGGTTACCTCATCCACGTGTTCTCTGAAACAAAGTTCGCACAGTGACTGATGGCAGTGAGAACACACCGGACAGTGGTCATACAGACTCCTACAGAGGTAGCAGGCAACAAGTCGGGATTCCTGCTCGCGTCGCCTTTGCACCCTTTCCTCCAACTCGTAATTTCGTTTGATTTCGGATACAGGGAACTCAACGTGGCAATAAATGCATCTCACGTGGGTGGACGAAGGTGTTGAAAGAAGGCATGGTCGCCGACAGAAGCTGTGTCCACATGGCAGACGGTAGGGGTTCCTAAAGCTTTCAGGAATATGGAAAGAGCATAAGATCACGCCAGAATTAATCAAAGTAACTCAGGGAGCTGGTAGGAAATTCACCAACGAAATTTTTCGCAGGACTAAACCCTCAAAATTGTAGAGCCTTAAAGAAGGCATCTAATTAAGGTAATCAGTTCAGGTCCCGGTTGACTCGTTTTCTGCAGACAGTCACGGATTAGTCCCTGTACGAGACGATTTTGAGTGAACTTCTATCATGCAAGCCACAGTTTACTTCGAAGCGCGTTGAGTACGCGTCGGTCACAACATGCTGGCTACTCAACCCTAAGTAGCAGAAATACAGAACAGGAATATATACATATACATATGTAACAGTCGTGGGATACACCGATCGTGTTGCGGAAATCACGCGTTCCGTTGTGCCATAGGACTCTATCTCGAGTCCAACCAGGAGCCGCTCAGAGGCGCGTAATATAGGCAGAAAGGCATTACCGACAAAGACAAGTGATCGCGGGTCGCGGGATCGAGCCGCAGGTGTTACACTTCTCGGGGTCGGGCATGACTAGCTGACGAAGGCTAATAAGCCAGAAATGGCCATTGTATTGTCCCTTTTCTCTGTCGGTAACTCCATTTGCCTATATCGTGCGCCGCTGTGCGGCTGCTAGTTGGGCTCGGGACAGAGCCCAAAGGCAACATGGGACGAATGAGTTCCCTAACACGGTCGGTGAGCGCCCCTCTACCGTTGTATATTTCCGATCGCAACCGGCAGCACAACGAGCCCGTAGCTCAGTAGTTAGAGGCGTTTAACTTCTAACCGAGAGGTCGCAAGATCGAGCCACATGTGTTCCACACCTCAGGGTTGGATATGACTGGCTGATGACGTTTGACATGCCAGAAATAACCATTCCAGTCTGCCTGTTTTTGTGGGTAATGTTATTTTTGCTTATATACTAATATATTGAAGGTACACGAAAATAGCAGGACTTACTAAGATTTAATAAGTAATATAATAGTATAGTCCTTTCAGAAAAAACGCAAGTGCTTGACTGCAGGTGTTTATTTCAGAGCAAATACCAGAACACTTGGTTTCACTGGCAAATGTTTGTAGCTATACTGATGTCTGACAACCTGACAGTGCGCAACAACATCCCGGACATCGCAAGAGTTTCCGCTTACGCATGGAAACACTTTCCACACAGAATCCGAAATAGAAGGATCCTTCAGGCATTCGAATTAAATCTCTTTGATGGTTTTTCTTGTAGACCGTTAAAAGTCCGAAATCGTGGCAATGAAGGTCGAAGGCTAGTAGGTCCATGTTGTCTCGATAGCCCCATATAGTCACTAAACAATGTTTTTCTCCTATTAGGTGTAAAAATGACAACTTTACAACCTTAGTCTGGATGGAGTGAAGGTAGTTCGTAATGTTAAACATTTTATCTCTGCTGTTCTTTCACGTAATATGTCTGTGGAGGAATGCTTCCTTACGAGGTGAATTTAGCACCGAGGACAGTAGACGAAAATCAGAACTTACAGATCCCTACACAGGAGGCAGGTCAGTTCGGCGGCTTCAGCCATGATGGAAGTGTAGTCGTAATCAAAACCTCTACATGGCGGCTGTATTGACCAATATGCCGCTGACAAACCAAGGCAACCAATCAACTTCGCGATGCGTTTTTTTCTCAAAAACACATATGTGGGTTAACTGGCATGACTTAATTGCGGAGGTAGATGGAAGGCGTAATCAGTCAAAGTGACACAGAAGTATTTTTTCCAGATCATCCAGTCACTGGTCATCACTGCTATTCTCTGAGCACAGATAGGGACGAAAGAACATGACCATGAGATGAACGTAAGCTGTGAGATGTCACCAAGGCCCAGTTGTCCAAAATGATTTGCTTTAATGTATGCCGGAAATATATATGTGACGATTAGGAAAGTATTTTTTTATGCCTTTTTGAATATTTTGCCGAAGTATTTGAAAGGTTTTACCCATTTTATGGCATTTTACCGGAAGAAAAACAGCCGAGTTTAAACAATACATTTGACTTTTATACATCACGATGAGTATGCGATCCCCATGCACCAAGATAGTCTGGTGGGTCCCACTTAAATTTGAATTAAAGTATCACCATACATGCAAGAACTTGGGTGTTGTTGCAGTTGCTCTTGCTACTGACGTTGGCCCAAAGGTTTGTCAGTGTCTGCTATGATACGATCAACGAACAATTGTCCACGCCGCCTGGTGTGTGTTGGCAGTTCTCCGGTATCTGGTTGTCTGGCGGTATACGCACTTGCGCTCCGGCTGGGTGTGCAGGTCGTGTGCATGGCTGCCCAATCATGTTGTTGCTGGCCAAAATCCTGCTCAAGTGTTTAGTGTGAACCAGCAGGTGTGGTGGTACGCCTAGGTGCGGGTTCGGCCGTGCCAACCATCTGCGCTCTCTCCCGGATGCGGTCTTCATGACTCCGTCTTGGCACCAGGTCAAGGCGGGGAGGAGAGAGTGCGGTAGATGTTGCACAAGTCACCGTGCCTGCTTCAGTTTGCTGTAGAACGCACGGTAGACGCCGTCGGATCCGACGTTCTCCGGTACGAATCTGAGGCAGACAAGCAGGGCAGGATTTATTGTCCTGTCTCCTCTCTTAACCACCTGATGGACATCCCATCAAATCCACTAGAAGTGAACGACTGGAAATTCGAACAAATGTTTAGCATCTCACGCATACACTCTTGCAGACCAGAATCGGTTAGATTCTGGAAGTACAACTCCTATGAATCGAACCAGTTTCCATTGAAATCCTCCAGTGAAAACTCTGACTTGTGCACTGGACTATCTGTCATGCATAATTTATTAAACTCGTCACACTTAACATCATCTTGGGTGCGGCAGTACTGTGGAATACTTTATGAACGACTCGTTAAGAAAGAATGTTATACTTTTTTTCAAAATGCCATTTTTTTTCAAAAGGTCTCTAGTAGTCTGCTAAGATGGTCGTCAGCACGGCCGCCTACTTTTGCTGACTTCAATCGATCTCACGCTCTCCGTCAATTTGCTACTTGAAACGGGCGAGAATAAGCACCAGCTTGGTGAGAACTTGATGTCAATCGAAGCTTCATATTCCGCTGATTTGTTGCACCTGCAGAACGCCCAGGCGCACTCATGCGTTTCGCGCCGGTGATCAATAACCTCGGTGACTACCGCCCGGCTGATTAGATTTTTTGCTCCCTGCATGTACGTCGCCTTACTCTATTAAAGCTTGCCATCCAAATGCCTTCCCTGCCTACCGATCTGGGAATCTTTAAGTTGTCGACCAAGGCACCTCGACCAGTTGGGACTCCTTGCGAACACCCATCTTCCTTCTTATCAATCTGCGATGTAGTTAGGTGACGGCGATGGAAAACGTCTCAGCAGAAGTGGAGTTTATTTTGGCACATGTTTCTGGATCCCTTTCAGTAACCGAATTTTCCCATATGGCCGAACTGCTAATGAGGGTGCACAGCATTGGTACGCCGTCACTTGCATTTTTTGAAAAGTCTTCAGTTTCTCCTGCTTCTACACCCTCTCTGCTGAGTAGATAGCCTTTTTGCATCATGGGACGTACCAAAGTCATTTGCACGGCGTGTTTAATTAACACCTTCACTTCCTCTCCGTACAGCCACCAGTTGTCGATATCATTGGCAAGGATTAAGTACACTACCTGTGCAAGTTTACTATTGAGAACCGCCTACTATATTTATCAAAGTAGGCGTTATTCGGGGGAGTTTTTTCAGTGTCCAATATTCAGTATATATGAGGGTTAGAGGCGGAGCCTTGGAAAACCCTATTTACAGAGAGACGTTTGAAAAAAACATGCAGATATCTACACAGCAGTTATGCCAGTCATTGATATCGTGCAAATGCTTGATCACCAAGCATAAATTTATCTAGTCTTCCTTTTAAGGTCCCAACGTTTTTCGCTAAGACAATGGAATTCGGCAATTTGTTGCATCCTTCAACCAGCCGGTGGGAGAAGAATTTGGCCCGCAATTCGAGTTTGGCATATCTTAGCTTCAAATTGCATTGGTGCCCTCGAAGCTTTGTTGTCCGCGCCAGTTCGAAGAAATCGTCAAACTGAAGAGCACAGTCTAGCCCTCGGACGATCCTGAAGGCCATGATCATATCCCCTCTGTATTGTCTATAGGAGAGAGGAAATATTTTTAGTTTTTCCAGCCGTCTCTCACAAGGTAAGCTATTTAATCCGCCGACTAGCTTGGTCGCTCTTCGGAATAACTATCTAACTATCCTTATTGCGTACCAGTAGGCATCTTAGTGTTGAGGGAAAAGACGTTTTTGACTCATTGTACGTAATGCACGTTTGTTCCACCGTCGTTTCCGGCGATGTCCACCGTGTGCTCCACGGCAAGGTGAAGCAGGAACGGTGACTTGTGCGTGATTTAGTTTATACTGATAGTGGACTTTCACTGCATCTATCGCCCTCTCCCCTCTCCTGGACCCGCTGTCAAGACAGAGTCAAGAAAACCGGAGACGGAGGAAGGCGCAGATGAATGGCACGGTCGAGTCCGCACGTTGGCGCTCCACTCCACACGCCCTGGTCCGCGCAGCCAATGACCAGGTTTTTAACCAACAACAGCAGTGAGATACGGCAGAGGTCCTAATGTGCGCGACGTCTGTCGGCAGCCGTGTTGGCCAATGCACCCTGAAATGTTTGCATTTGTTTCGGTGTGCAATCCGACAACGCCTGTCAGAATCCGATATGGCGCCCGTGTCGGTCCAGCGCATCCACCACATGGCCCCTTTGGGGAGCACAATGCACATTTGTACTTCACTTGAGGCCAACAGTAACGCAAATAAGGACACCTAAGGAGCCTCTAATGGCCAAATACTTTAACCGATGATGCAGCCCTATTTTAGATGGTTAAAAGTCACGTTGCTGTTTGGCACAACTCGGCCCAGACGACTGTGAATGGAAACCGACGTGAGGGCGTAGTATGTAACCTTACTGGGTTACTGATCAAAAACGTACTACTCATTGTATTTAGGTAGGTGTGGCTTTCCAAGTTTTATTTCAATGCATCCTGAAAGACTGCTTTTTGGGTTAGGTTGAGACCAGAGGGTTAGATTCAAAGTTTCAGGGTTAGGTTTCTGCCTCTTTGGGTTTGGGTTTGTGGTTTCAGATTTAAGGTAAGAGTGCAGTTTTGACGCTTCATACGTATTACTAATATCAAGTGAGATATCTTGCCCCCCATGGGCACCACGTGCCTATGTATCCATCACCTGTGTCAAAAAGTCCGAAGTTAATGGCATACCGTTGCCAAGTCCGGCGGAACATCATTTCCAGCATTTACACACTCCGACGTCGAACTACCAAAGATAACTCTCTGCACTCCATAAGACAGGAAGCGGAAATATGTGGTTATGTAGCTGCGCCTGATGGACACCATACTGTTGACCAACTTAATTATTTTGAGTTGGTGTGATTATGTTGGCGTGGTGTTGCTGTGCGTTGCGGTGTGTGTTCTGTTGGCGACATTGTTTCTTTGCTGTCGCGTCTACCTTATTGGGCCCAATGCTAGTGGTCCTTCTTGACCTTCGGCCTGTCGTCTCCTTCTAACTTTCGCGTTGGACGTTTCGATGTTAGAGTGTAGGGCCGCAGTTAAGGGTTAAAGTTAAAGTTAAAGGGTAAGGGTTGGGATTGGCATTAGGGTTAGGGGTTAGGATTAGGGGGTCAGGGTTAGGGTTAGGGGTTATGGTTAGTGGTCGGTGTTAGGGGTTAGAATTAGGGGTTACGGTTAGGAATTAGGTGTAGGGGTTATGGTCAGGGGTTAGGACAACTATTTCTCAACCCTTAAAAGTACACCCGCGTATTCCCAATGGTTTTTCTTTTGCACACAATGACTTGACTTCGGCCTAACCCGTAAAAAAACCTATTACCACCGGTTCCGGGTTACAGGTGGCTGGGGTTTATTTGCCTCAGGTGTGGCTACATAGCCAAACCTGACCAGGTAACCTCCTATCAATTGGAACATTCTGCCTCAAATCCCCATTTTCCAAGCCTTCTGGAAAAGTAGCGGCTATCCGAGATTCCCCCTTATGGATCGGGGTGATAACTGCATTCTTTCATTCGTCCGATTGTCAAAATTGACAGATCCTGGCTAATAATTTGAGAAATAAGAAGAGCTCATTGGAACAGGTTTTTAGGAATGCTGGCGATTCAGAGAGATTGGTGGGCTCACTATTATCAAAGCTTTGAGCGCACTCAATCGAATAGAACTGGAAGTTCATTTAGACCCAACCGTGAAAAACTTGGCGACTTCGGTGGGATTCGAACCCACGACAGCAAGGGGAAGGCTTGAGTACAGTCAACGCTCTGGCCACAAGAGCTACGAGGACCCACTTGGAGCCGTTTAATCACATTCGGCTCAAGTTACCAACCCAGCCCACTGCAACGTCCGGAATCTACCACAACTCATACAGTAAGCTGACTGCTCAAACAGGATTTCCTTATTAGTCGGCCTAAAATTCACCAGGCCAAGGTCGCCGGGCTTTTCATAGTTTGGTCAAAATTAATGATTTAAAATCTGCTAAAACACCCATTAAGAACTCGAAGTGGCCTGACATGCCAGTCAGCCCCGAAGTGATCGATTTTTTTCTCATTTCGCTGCCTCGGCCTTCCGGGGCTGTTTAAGGGCCCTGTCACCTGCATGCATTATGAGTCACTGTCTCGAGGGTGGGTGGGTGAGTTTCAGCAGTCGCTGTTCGGTCTGGGGGCTCTTGGGCGGAAATACCAAACCCACCTAAAAGAGTACATATCGGCGACTCGGGGCGGCCAGACGTAGACTTTCAAATTTCAACTTGTACATTAGAGAAGCTGACCGCACTTTCGATTATCAGGGAGAGTGCAACTTGGGCTGGGACATATCGAGGGTGGAACGGCTAAACTTGAGGTGTGTTACTCAAATACGAACTCCATCAACATGCATCTTGACCTTCCTGCAGCTCATAAAGTCCCGTGTCATTTAGTACACAAGCTCCAGGGCAAGTCGATCCCGCAGCCCGACGACAAACTCACTCGGCGGGGGGGGGGGAAATGCCGTCAGACTGAGCAACCCCTGCAGACGCTCACCCCCCCCCCCCCTCCAGTGTGAGGATTCATGACGCACATAGCTGACAAGCTAGCTAAACCCCCTCCGAAAGACTGAGACAGCGAAAGAAAAAAAAATCGATCAACACGGGCCCAATTCCCACGGCATGCCACTTCCATTCGATTAAGGGCGTTCAACGCCCAGGCAGTGGCGAGCTGACCAAACTATCCGAAACGTCAGTCCTAATAAACCTGTTCCAGTGAACTCTTCCTATTTCTCAATTTTGTAAATCCATTAAACAGAGTTGACCTGGGAACGCCATTCTTTCGACCTGACACTGATGAAAGATATGCCAACAGCCCGAGTGTATAAAGAGTTGGGCTGAAAAGTGTGCAATGGCTGATTGTAGCCTGCTCCACCTTTAGTGTGCATCAACGCCTGGAGTTTCGTTATCACGTTGCGGTGCACTTTTGTTGTGTTGGTGACAGTATTAAATATTTCGGAAGAGCTTTTGGCGAGCTTACCTGTGCTTTTGATAAATTCTCATCGGGCCTGCACATTTACATGGGAACGAGGTACAAACGTAACATGTGAGTGATAAGGGCAATCGATTATGGCTCGTCCCTTCTTACAAACGGGGTATGCAAATGGAGTAGGGGTGGGGAGAGGAGGGGGTCAGTGGCAGTGAGGGTTAGGTTAAGCCGTGTCACAAGGGGGGAGGAAAGGGGCGGGGTAGCGGAGACCAGCGTACAGTTAATCAATCCTTGCCCACGGCAGACGCGGATCGTGCAAAAGGTTCTTCTGCGCGCACAGGACCGACCTCTGTAGCCTGATGACAGTCGCTTCTGCTGTTTATAGTAAGCGCTGACCCAGTCGCTTAGGATAGTTAGATTTGACCTTGTGAAGCACACGGAAGGCTTCATTGGGATCCACACAGTGTCCAGAATCAACCATTTTCTCAGCCATGCCGGCAGGTGCTCTCGTATTCTTGCAGATAGGCGCCGACTCATACGATTAATATTGTCTGTTCCACAGGAGAAAGCAAAGGGGTAAATGCACATGGAGGTGGTCTGAGCTGGTGGCCTATCCTTACCTTCCCCGCGTAAGACGAGGTTGATCGAAAACAATACCTGAACTCTCTGCTGCCAGGAATGTCCGTGACAAGACTTGGTCAAGGCGCCTTCTTAAGGGCTCACTCGTCGCATCCCCTCGAAGGGGGACTTTTGATGAACAGACTTTTCTTCTCTGTGGTCGGCATGATGAGTTTTCCCGGTCGTTCGGCAAGATTCCTTACAACAAATCTGTCAGGAAACCCGTTCCTGCGGAGCAGGTCCTGGATCTTTTTCAGTCCCTTATCAACGCTATCTGCCGAATAGCTAAGCCAACGCCTGCTTAGGCACGAGACGCGGAGTTCCAAATTTATCAGTCCCCCAGCAAAACCTACAACCAGGAGATGCTAATTCGCATCTTGCTTTAGGGGTTAGAGCGTGCAATAAGTGGGTTTGTTGACTGAAATACCTCTCTTGGTTAATATTTAACCCCGACCGGTCAGTGTGGTTTACTGTGGCCAGCTGTCCTTGAAGGAAGGACGTTTTGTCTCGTTATTTTCAATCAAACAGTTGAAGATTGTCATACGAGTTTCCTCCATTCATATAGCCAAAATTGCGGCATTTTCCGCCAACCTCTACTCACACCTTTTTCCTATTTCTTTGTTTTCATAATTCGGCAGACTTCAGGTCTTGTCTGTTGTCCACAAAGGGTCTAAATCATAGAGACCTGTCTATCCTACAGAAGCTGATTAAGGACAACTCTCTAAAGCCCTACACTCCTCAGTTCGCATTTGTATGATCCATCGAGGAGACCTGTGATGTCCCTGCTCTGTTTGCCTGCTGCAACGCTACCAATTGTGGATTCATTTGGGAGCATTCATTTATCTTCACGAGAGTGGCGTTCAGTGATTGCGAAACACAACATGAACAGTTCAGCTGTGTCCTGGAGATCAAGGTCACAGCCTTGAGATTGCCAATAGAAGCGACGAGACGAGTCCCAGGAGGTAGTCATGAAGAAGGAAGCACGATCGCCGGAACAAAAGCCGTATTCGTTTGACATTTCGGGTTCCTGTACTAACCCATCATCAGAGACAGTAGCAGATACGGATTTTTCGTGCACAAGGGGCTGCAGTAGTTATAGGATGCAGTCGCCATGCTACCGCACACCTAGGAAATCAGGACTTGTTGCGTTTGGTGTGATGATTGTGCTATGGCCGACACCCGAGTCGTTAATCGTTGCAGTGACATCACGGGTGTTGGATGTTGGTACGATAGTTGCTCGACTATTTGGACACACCGATCCTGACGTTGGGGATAGTGCTCGCCTGTGCTCTCTCCACGTGGCTAATCATTTTGCCTGAATAAAGTCTTAGCATCGAATATGGGGGGGAGGTGATTGAACTAGTTAATGGACTTGGGGCCGGTGAACCAGGACTTAGATGGCCTACGGCTCACGCGATTGTTACCTCTATCGACAATTTCGGTTTCGTCGAATTTAAATGTGTGGCTAGATCTTACAGAATGAACAGCAATTTGAGAGCTGGCGTCATTTATCCACACCGCCGCCGCGTGTTCCGCCATTCACGTTCGGAGCTGTCTTCCGATTTCTCCAACGTAGCTGTCTTGTCCACAACTGCACCGGATCCGATAAACCACCCAAAAAGTTCCTTGCCGTGGCAGCGGGTCTTTCAGTCTCATTATCTGACGTCTCATGGTTGCTTCCGTTCTGTGTGCAACACCATCCCCACGTGGTGCGAGAACGCGGTCGACGGCTTCCGAAACGTTCTTGGCATACGAAAGCGCTCTCCAAAATTTGGAATCCGTGCGTTTTCGCCTTTCGTCCCCTTTGCGCATGCACCGGTTAACGAAGTTGCGCGGGTAACCGTTGCCTTTGAACATCCGTCAAAGGTGTTATTGTTCGTCAGTCTTGTCTTCCGGCTCAATCCAGTGCCTCTCAAAACGCCAATAAAGCGTCCTTACACAGCTGCGTTTGTAGTTGATTGGGTGGCTGTTGTCGAAGGTCAGTGCTTCCATCGTTTTTGTCGCCTTCTTGAACACATTGGTCATTAGGCTACCAGTGTCTTTGCGACATAGGAGGATATCCAAAAAGGCGAACTGGCGTATGGTCGTTATATAATGGTAACTTAATTACAAATGCCCGTTTGAGTCATTTTTCTTTATATGTAATGCTTCAATTTTTTATGAGGATAAAATTGATTGAGGCATTTCACCAATACAATTTTCCCGTCTGATTGTAGACCCCAAAGCATCCTCTGCTCGTTTGATTTGGTGTGCCATGCGTCCTTTACAAACTGCATGGTTATTCTCACACCTTGTTGGAAAAGGAGTTCGACCGATATCCGATACGCCCGAATAAAAATTCTTCATTGTTAACGGATATTTTCGCCTTCTGTTAGGTGCTAACTCTCTATGTCGTGAAATGAACATTTGGAGAAGGGGGTGACTCTGAAGTTTTAGGGTATGCAAGCTTTTTGACCTCCGTAGCGCATCAGTTTCCTCGTTTATATCTAGTCTGTAGACTCTAACTCTTAGCCTTATGTCAATAATCTACAGGATTCTCGTTGAAGGAGGTTTGCAGAGAGGTCTTGCATATTGCCTGCTCAGGCTTCTTTCGAACAGTCTGAATAATCTTCAGTGGACGGTAAAATGAACAACATCCTAGTCCGACAAATCAGTCAGTACCCTGGTGTCCATTCACGAGATGTCCGGTTGTTTAGGATGCTGACAAAAATCTCTATTCTGAGGAAGCAAAGACTGCGAAGTGCTATGGATGGCGGAGGGGCACTCACCGATCGTGCTACGGAACTCACTCGTCCCGTTGTGCCTTACGGGATCTCTCTCGAGCCCAACTATCAGCCGAACAGCGGCGCATGGCATAGTCAGAATGTTATTACGGACAAAGACAAGGCAGACTGGAATAACCATTTCTGGAATATTAGCCGTCGTCAGTCAGCCATACACAACGTCGAGGTGTGTGACACCTTGGGCTCGATCCCGCGACCTGTTGGTTAGAGGTCCTATGGAGTCAACTCGAAGTACAAGTAATAATGCACTTTTGGTTTTCTTTGTAGCCAGGACGGTATGATCATTCGAGCAGAACCTTCAAAACGCAGTCAACTCTAGTTGTGCTTAACAGTCCAGGGATAGTTGCTAAGTCGGGTTATTTTGTCCCAAGCGAGTATTGGCGTTACTCAGGCGAACGACAAAGAACATAATGTTTCGCCGAGTCTGCAAGACGCAGCGAGCTGCTACTGGCGAGCGCTATCTGTGTCTCAACAACCAAACGCTGTCTGGGGGCATTCCTTGATATTTTTAACGCATCACCCACCTATATTTACGTCATACGTATGCCTCAGCCTTCTCCAGAGGATTAGCCCGACTGCACTTACATTCCGGCCTCTGGGTTGGTGAGATGATCTGTTATAGGATACCTAGGGGGCTTCGTTAACTCTCACACTTGGCAGGAGTTAAGCTGTTGGTTCAGATTATTGCTCCCCTCTTCTCCTAGCACATCTTGGATTCCTCGGACCAGTGATTTCCTGCGACGATAAGTGGCGGCTAGTCGGTAGTTTCCTTCCAACGTTTTTAGTTGTGTTTGTACCTTCTCTTAGTGGATGGCTATCGGTATTCTCAGTTTCGCGACAACCTACTGACTGTTGCTGGCTTCGCCAATCGACTGTGAAGAAATACACATGAAACCAGCAATGAAATCTCCAACTCAAGATCGCCTCAATATTACTAGCAGGGCGGTGCGAATCGAGTCTCGGGGATCGCGTTCTAGTCAAGGCAGTTTAATGATTGGTTGGTCGCACGCCGCCCACTCAGCCCACTAAGGGCGCAATCTTATGTCCGCACGCTGATAGGCCAATCGATCGGACGGCGTGGTTGCTTCGGCAAGCACAGCCCCCGAACTCCACTTTCTGCCTTGCCGCGCTGTCGTAAGTGCACCTGTCCTTCCCTTTACGGCTTCCTTTTTGTTTTTCCTTGATAATAACTGTTTTATGCCCCTTTTTGTGGTATTGCGAAGCCGATATCAAAGGTAACATACCGGAAGCTTTTTAGCCATGAGGTCGATTAACTGTTACGCCAAACTGCCGAAGATATGAGGGAGAGGTACCCGTCCGACGCATTTTCATCTTCCTGGGGCGGTTTCTCCTACAGTTCGCCAACCGACGACGTTATTGCTGACAAAATGACGAATTTTACGGCTATGACATCGAACAGGGGATCTGAGGGGTCTCAAAAGTTCCTGTCAACTGAAGAGGAGTCAAGCGTACGTAGTGACCCGACCGGTGAACCTGCAGATATCGCAAACACATCTGACAAGTTTTCTGAGGATAATAGGACAGCTGGAGACAGCCGACGCGTCCGAATTGCTCTTAGATGCACGAGCACTACTGAGGGTAGCAAGCTTGCTGCGGCACCGATTACGGCAGTGAGTAGTGGTGGTAGTACGTTCATTTAGGACTGGTAGCTAAGCAGTCACGTGTCTATTCCATGCCTATTTAAGGTGATAAGGTCGTGACTTATTTAACAATCAATGGCCTTCCGATTCACAACAAGACTTGGCTAGGATTTCGATCAGCGCTATGTTAGTGAAGTGTTTTTTGTAGGGATATATATAGCCGCCATGTTAGGCCGTCGGATGTGTAGTCGTTTTGCAGACAGCTGGCTGAAGAGCCATTAACTTTGGGCAGATGCAGTCTGCGTGTCTACGAAGTCAGCTGGTCACCGCAGTTCCGGCTTGCGGCCGTAATTTGCGGTGCGTCCCCCAGGGCTTTTGTAAAGCAAATTAGGCATGTACATGTTTGCTTTTGCAGCGAACAGTGTGGTGTGCGTAAATAAGGTGGCCTGTGTGTCTGAGGGTGTGAGGACGAATGAGGACTTCGTATCCACCACCGGTGACTGCCGCCGCACTGGCATTTCGTCACTTCTATCATGCAACGTTCAGATAATTTGTCGTCTGCCTTTAGTTTCCCTAGGTGTTATGAGGTGGTTTCGAAGCCCGAGGGGAAATGCGTCTAGGTTGTCAACTGCAGCAGTGATAACGTTCCTTCGGTGACCTAGACACATGGAGCAGAACGAAACTGTTTTAGTTACTGGTTTACATGGGCATAGTAGTCCTTTAAGGGGGACCTCCTCGACAATATTGGAAGCATTTTTGCCTACCGTTTACGGTACTACGCTGTCTCGTTCGCCCGCAATTGTCCAAACAGTGGATCCCCTGCTGTAGGTGCCTGCTTGATATGTTTGTTGACAGGTTTTCCTGGAAATGGGGGCGAGTATGCGCGTCGCAGGTTCTTGTTGAAAAGAAGACGAAAACGCGATCACTGAAACGGTAGTTTTATTAGCCGGGACTTTCGAAAGTCCCGGCAAGTGGTACGTTGATTAGCAGACTCGCTGGGTGAGCGATACGGTCCATCGGTTTTCTACCACCGACGGGTGGGTCGGTTACACAGTTAAGTTACATTCAGAAGAATAGGTTATTCATCGGCAGAACGCCCTCTGAGGGATTGGCGACAGTCGACGGTGAGTTGGTGTGCACTCAATACATGGCACGTTATCTGCCTGGGGACGTAGAACTAGTGTTTGTTGAGTACGAGAAGATAGAATAGCAATTTGACTACCCTACTAACTCATCACAAGTTAAGGTATGTTTAAAGTCACGACACGGGCTGTTCTCAACTCTTGGCCATTGTCGCCATCGGCATGCATGTACGTAGACGATCACTTTGCCCTTATTGAAGTGGACGTTGGGACTTCGATGACTGGCATCAGCGGCTCGTGACTGTGCGACTGCTCTCGACAACCAACAAAATTCCGGGAATGAGTAATGGATGCGTCGGTGACTTTTGCGAATAATTGTAGTCTCACTGTAACTCGGCAGCATGTGGACTACAGGTCAGAGGAAATGGTGGTCGTATGAAACAACAAATGTGTAGGTCTATAACCTTCCCTATAACCTACTTACCATCATCATCATCATCGGTGGGGTTAAGAATTGTCTAATTTCCTTCCCTTGCTAGGATTTCGAAAGCGAGTCCAGCGACTCCGGTAAAACCTTGCCTGGAGGTATTTGACTACCACCACCTACTCAAATAGATATAGTAGTTGTTATTTCTAGTCAACGGATATTTGGGTGCCATCTCCCGATTGTTACCACTCGGCGTCCAGTCAGTTACAGCCAATGATTTGTATGCAGTAAATGGGGATGTAAATGTCTAAAAACTTCTGACTCTACTAACCCCCTTATTCTCCTGTTGCCTTACAGCGTTTGATGTCTGATCAGGACCTTCCTGAAGATATTGCAAGACTGTTGGCTGAGGTGCCGCAACTTACGTCATCATCATCATCGGTGGTGTTAAGAATTGTCTAATTTCCTTCCCTTGCTAGGATTTCGAAAGCGAGTCCAGCGACTCCGGTGAAACCTTGCCTGGAGGTATTTCACCACCACCATACGCTGGTGAGTATTCATCTACATGAGATATTCTTCCTAGAGACTAGACACCGGCGTTGTAAGCGGTGGCGCGGCCGTCAAGCTTCTCGCAAGAGAAATACCTCATTTAAAGCATGCCTCCGATGGATAATGTCGTGCCTTTGTCAACTACTGCGCATCACTTATGAAATGAAGTCGCAGCTTATTGTGATTGAACAAAGCCTCGATGCTCTGCAGTCGGCCCGCTCGAGTTCCTCTCCCGTGCCTACTGGGGCCGTTGATGGTTAGTCACCGACAACACTTTGTTTGAGCGTTATTCACCTTTTTCATTTTAATTGACTTATTTAATTTATACTGAATGCAAACTGCGTGTACTACTTACCCTGACATTGACTATTTTCCTGCAATATTTCAGACGGAAAGAACGGACGACCTGAAAACGGGGAACCCAGCCCTCCCACACAGCCATAATAGGACTACTGTGGGGGTTTGATATCCAAATATGATACACAGTTACGTCCTCCTATGCCTTTGAAATTTTTTTGATATTGTAAATTTCTCGAGGTTTTATGGTTTTACATACATACATGCATTCATATAGTCTTCCTACAGTGACCTTACTGCTGTTACAGGCTACCTAAAAGGGAAGGGGGTTGGACGGTCGCTTATCTGTACAACCTTAGCCCCATCATATGGTCTCTCGAAAGTGCGCAGAGAGGGCCCGCCTCTTCGGCACTGCAAAGTACAGACTGGCAAAGTGGCTGTTTCGATGTCTCACAATGTTGACTGCTGAATCAGGCACCAGAGTCACCTAGTTGACGCAATTCCTGGATAAGATTATGTAAAAGGATGAGTCTCCGGTCAGAAGACATCATGGCATCATGCCGCCTTTTCTATTTGCCAGGATCTGGCGGTCGAGACCATCGGTGTACTCTTGCAAAGTGAATACGATCGAATTCTCCAACTCCTGGAGTTCTGTCTTAAGGCGTACTTTACGTTCGACAAAACAATCCACCTCCAGGTAAAGGGCTCACTGCTTCGTTAGCCGTTTTTAGGACTCCTAACTGAGGAGTTCCCGCGACGGTTAGAGTCGCTAGTCTCCCGGCTACCACATACGGAATTCTGGACTCGGTACGTTGATTATACCCTCGTCATCAAAGGGGGCTAAGTGCTGGCATTCATAAGACGTCCCAACTGCGTCTCCCCAGACTGGATGGAGGAGGAAGAAAGTAACCAACTCTTCATTCCTGGAGGCTTCGTTTGCTGCAAAAATTGTGGTGGCCGCAAAGCTAGCGCGTTTAGGAAATACGACACTAGTGTCCAGCCTCAACAGCAACCACTCAACCAAATATAAACAATGTGAAGTGAGAGCGCTATGCCGGGGTGTTGGGACTCAATTCAGTGAACCGGAAGACATGGTCACTGGGTGGTAAACCATTCGGCGGGTGCTCAGACGAATATTTGTCGGCACAACCTCGTCAATCGGTCCATGCGCAAACACAATGAAAGACCTACTCTAACTGCCTCCAAGTTTTGACAAACGCTCCCGTTCGTCATGAACAGCTGAGAAACCGTCAGCCGCTTTCTCACATCAGCTGGATTTGGGTTGCACATCGACCTTACGCAACTATCTGGCGCCATTTTATGAGACCAAGAGACTTTCTGCCACGACGAAAAATGTCTGGAGTCGTCTCCCGGAACTGTTGTAGCTTTAAGGAAATCAACTACACCGGAGAAACTGGTGGTGGGTGACAAGGACGCTTGTTTGGCAAACGAAGAGTTCCAAATTACAAGTCAGGGAAGGCAGAAATGTTTCACCGGATTATTACTGAGATGAAGTGGCCTACAGGCAACTCAGCAAGTATTTGCGGTCAGAAGTCACACCATACTGGTGTCAGCCAGAGTTCAGCCGCTATCAAATTTACCCGACTGCGGCCAATAGTAGGAGGGAGAAATATCGATTGGTGTCAGGACGCTGGCAAAAGTTGTCGTACACGACCACGCAAGGCGACATGAGTCAGCGGCGACGGTGGCGCTCGTGAGAGCGGGCATCTGCAGTACCCCACAGTCTGGCCCGAAAGCGGCCTGTAGCGAGGCCGAAGGAACGGATCACGTCTAAAAACCATGAATGCCCATGTAGTCGGGAAAGTAAACATAACGTCCACTGCCGATGATATCTGCAGGGGGCAACGGAAAAGAGTGAGAATATGTGGAGGCTGGAGTGCTGGAGGTTGCTCAGGAAGTTGCAGGCGGCGTTAGCGTAGATGAAGAAGAGGAAATGAGGACTGTTCGAGCGCCGGGACAGTTGTCGAGCTTGTGCACGAGTCCATCGTCGAACGAGCGACAATCATAGAGCGTGCTAGCCAAGCATCAGCCGATGGCGCAGGACTGGAGGTGACTGCGCAGAGCTCCGTACGCCGACGCCAGATCGGCAAGTCGATTGGCTGAGTTCTTGCCTGAGTCCCAGACGTCAACCAATTCTCGGCCTATTTGGTTTCGGGCGTAGAGAATTATCTTGGTGGCTGCGAAGTTAAACTCATGGCCCATTTCGTAGGTGTGGACAGTCCCATGTGATGGATAGTTCAGCTCAGGTTATTTGAGGGAAAGTAGGTGTGCACTACTGAAATAAGCAGAATGTTATTACCGACAAAGACCAGGGAGACTGCCATGGCTATTTCTGGCATATTAGCTGTCGTCAGCCAGCCATGCCCAACCCCGAGGTTTGGAACACCTTGAACTCGCGACCTGTTAGTTAGAAGTCTAATACCTCTAACCACTGAGCTGCGGGCTCGTTGTCCTGTCGGTTTCGATCGGGAATACACAATGGTAGAGGGGCGCTCACTGGTCGTTCTTACGGAACTCACTCAATCCGTTGTGCCTTACAGGCTCTCTCTCGAGCCCAATCAGCAGCGGCGCATGCTACAGGCAGAATGTTGTCACCGACGAAGACAAGGGGGACTGGGGTGGACATTTCAGCCATGCAGAGGAAGTGTATGAAAAAGTTGGAAAGGGAGTAAGTCTAAAGAATTACTAAGGAAACATCAAAAGCTGTACAGACGTAGAACGTATTTCATGAGCCAACAGCAATGTAAGGCGTATTTACTCACTTAGGTGCGCAATGCAGTGATTTCTTAAAGCACATCTCAGCAACTGGGAGAGTAACATGATCTGCAGTCTTCAAGCGTCATGGTGAGCGTGTGATGTGCGCCGAGGTCTGTATATTAAATGTTCTATAAACAAGCGTTACTTAACTATATTAAGTAGTAATAAATTGTCATTTGGTGTCAAGACGGCAGCAGTTAGATGCCCTTGTGGTGCGCATAATAGCTACCTAAAGCAAAGCAGCCTAAGTCTCAACCATTCTGTTGTGGCACCAGTCAAGCGTAGTGTAAGTGGATGACCTCTCAGGCTAGTTGTAGCTGTCAACTCGAAGAAACCTCCAGATACGTTATAGCAGTCCTGACCGCGCAGGATGCGGGAAGTTTTTGTAAGCTCAAAGGAAAGAGATCGAGACTGGCTAATCGCGTTTCGTAGGGTAGTGAGCCCTGTCCAGCTGCAAGTTTCGCTGCAGATCTTTGAACTTTCTCGAGAATGCTGAGGACTTAAGAAGCACAGGGTCTCCGTGTTTGGATAGCAAACTCCAGATTCAGCCGCACACAAGTATGAAAGGCACTGGTAAAGCCGTCTTCATCGCCTCGTCGTGCATGCGGGATCCGAGCATGAGTTCGGTCTGACCTCTGTAGTTACACAGACAGCTTTGGCACGGGATGCGATACAATTTCCCGAGTTACTCTTTGGGGCCTAACCGGTTTTTGATTTTCATGACCTTGCTGTGCGTGGTTGCATTGTGCCGGTGTGCGATTTCAACAACTGGCTGCGCAGCAATGCGCTCAGTCACTTCCGGAATTTATGACAGAAAATGCCATACCCTTGGTGGTGTTGCTGTCTGGGTCCTCTGTAAGCGACCTCGTAGGCAGCAACTCAAAAATGCCTTTGGATGGCCATTCTGCATAAACTGATCGCGGAGATAACGGACCTACCGTACTTTTCCCCCGGTTTACTGTTGTGAATCTGGATCCGTTTGAAGAGCGTCTTCACACAGCTTCGTTTGTGAACCCCCAGATGGTTGCTGTGAAGAATGAAAAGCTGTGCAATGTTCCTTGCCTTCTTATAAACCATCGTTCTAAACACATAGTAAAGGTTTCGTCTGACGAGCATATCAAGGAATGGCAACACAAGCTGGCTGTGCGATGAGACGACAAACTGTCTATCACAAGTGGCTGCCCACAACTACGACATGGGCCGGGAGTTTAACTTCACAGCCACCAAGATAATTGTCCACGCCAGAAACGAAATGCAGTGGGAATTGATTGATGTCTGGAACTTGGGTGGGAAGTCAGTTAATCGATTTGCCGATCTGGTTTCAAAGTACAGAGCTCTGCGCAGTCACCTCCAGTCTTGCGTTATCGATCGATGTTTGGCTAGCGCACCCTATAATTGTCACTGGTTTTGTTGTTGCAACTATCCCTGACGATGGACTCGTGCACAAGTTTCAAGGCTCAGAACAATAAACACTGTTCCGATGTTCAACCTGTCTTCCTTAATTATAAATGTACATGGACCTTGAACTTTCACCACAATTCGTGAAGAGGAAGCATACCCAGCGGAGGGATAGAGGGCAGGGGAATAGGAGCATGGGGTATCGGACCACAGAGCTCAGCCGAAGTAGTGTCCCGAACAGCAGATTTGGAACGGTTCACGCTCAAGACCTCGTGAATTCCGAGTTTGATGCGCAACGTCTTTTTTCCTCAGGAGACAACCCGAAAGGGACCGTCGTATGGTGGTCCCAGTGGTCGCCGGACTCTACCAATCATGGATAGGCGTAAGAACAGGCTGCCAAGTCTTTCTAGAAATAAGAAAGACCTGGGTGGAGTAGAGATAGTGTCCACATAAAATGTCGAGGACGGTGCAGGAGGTTTGTGTGGGTCCGTGTTTGACGCGATAATGGCGCGTTACCACACCAAGAATCCATAATGTTGATTGAATTTCATAGATTAACGGTTTGAGCGCGGACTAGCAAGCAGTCACCACATCAAATACGATCCTCAGGGATGCATGTGGGCATTACCGGAGACATGTGGCTGCGCGGCAACTGCGTCCTATAGATACTATACTTCTTGAACCTCAATCATCCTTATCTGCAACTGTCAGCGAGTGAGAATCCGAAACATCGGACCAGTAAATTTTTTGCTCCTGCGACCGCATCTTCTTCTACCATTTGATACTCCTCATTTGTAAACATTGTTCTGCCGGTATTTTGAACGCCGTGTAAACGTTGATCGGATTTTCCGGAGTCACGTGTGTATGTTCGCGTCCTCTGCAAACTTTAGCAGCATGAGAGGCAGTAACGACTGTTATTTGTTACAGACCAGTCAGAAATCGCAGATCAACCAGTGATCTATCAGAACGAA